ATGATAAAGAACTTCACAAAATACTGGATGTAGACAGGAGTGCACTCGGGGAGCCATTCTTTGTGCTGTATCACGAATGTCTATGAATGTTCCTGGTTACAGGGATGTCCCACAGTGCTAGCACAGCACCTACATGACGGCTCCTATAATAGCACGTCATGAGGATGACAATGACAGCAATGGCTTACACAGGCCAGCCAAGCATTCATAACCACTTCACAACAGCCCTCGGAGACAGGGTACTATGATTCCTCCTGCTTCAAAGAAGAGAAAGCTAGGGGCCAGGGAAGCTTCTGATAGAGTACACTGGCAGGGTGGTTGTCCTGTTTCTGGGACTTTTAGTGAGAACATTGAGAAAGTTCCAGCCAAATGGGACAGCTGGTTACCTTACATATTGGGGTATCAGTGGCTACCCTGAGGGTTAAGGATCAATATGTCCCTATCTGCGGCATAATATTTGAGAAACACTCATATTACAGCTGCAGTCTGGCCCTGATGTTTGAGGCCCTTCACAGTGAGGCCATGGGGGAGGGATGATATCAATGAAAGCAGATTAGTTTGGTTTTGGCATGGTTAAGGCTAGGACCAGAGTAAGAAAATAAAGCTCCCATGGGATATTTAGGGACTCTCTCTCTGGGTTGAAAGGTACCCTGCCTATTTTACCCAAGTCCTAGCCTAGCCTGATATGTGAAATAAACCATAGGAGCCCAGTGGCTAGTCTCTAGGTAGGTCTTATCCCCAAGGAAGAATGAGGCAGGGATGATGAGAACGCTCGAGCTAGGGGGAATGTATTTAATATTTCTGACCTAAGTACTGGGCTCAACAACTGGCGTTTGCACCCACAGCTCATTTATTCCACAGACAGTTTATGCATAAGGTTTCAAAGGTAGTCAAAATGAGCTAATTACTAGACTGAAATGAATTGCCCAGGTCAATACACTCCATCCAGAACTTTCTTTGATGCTTAAAATGCTCTCACTTGGTGCTGTTTACTGAGACAGCTACTGGACACATGTGGCTATTGAATATCTAAAATGTGGCTCCCTAGGAGCAGGCTGTAGACAGTGGCTGCTGTTATGTCTATGACAGATCTGCACAGACTCTCAGGCCCTGCTACAGACTTTCTGAAGGTAGCCCACACTTTAGCAAGGACCTCTGGAGAACTGTTCCCAGAAAAGCATGCTGACTATGATGGCAATAAGCAGAAGCCGAGGTCATAGATACTTATTGGTAGACCACACCCGAAGGGACAATGCACAGAGGAGCCATTCTCTTGTCCCCCTTCCTGCTATTCTCCTTGGCCAGCAGATGGCAGAGAAGTGTAGAGGTGGGTGACAGAGAAGCTACTTGTCACCCTAACTATTAGACCCTTCTTTTGAATAGAGCTAGATAGAGTCTTTCTCGCCTTCCAGTCTTTACTGTGTATTTATTGCTTTATGCTGGGCCACAAGATTCTACTATGGAGGATGAAGTAATTGCAGCCTCCTCTGTCCTTGAAGGATTTAAAGTTCTTAGGGCCTTCTTTCTTGCTAGCATGACCCTCCCTGTTGTTTGGATGAAAGCAACCTGGGGGCTATTAGTGTATACACAAGAGAAAAATCTCTCTCTTCCAAAGCCCAAGAACTGGTAAAAAATACAGCTATCTAGACCCCAGAAGCCACCCAAAGTGACAGCTTCCTTCTGCCAGTCCTGCTTGGTGTGGCGGAAGGAGGAGGCTGTAGTAGCCAGCACACTGGGCAGCAGTTTGAATCAGAAATGGGAGACAGGCTTAGCCACTCACCTGCCTTCCCGATCTGCACGGCCAGACGTGTGAGCTTTCCCTGTAGCACCGACTTCTCCTTCTTAGGTGCCTTGGTTACTCTCTTCTCCTTTTCCTCACTGTCAAGAGCTTCCTGGCTGTTGAGTGGCTGGATTTCCAAGGCCACTCCATCCTGGGTCTTTGCTAGGGTAGACACACAAAGGAGACCAGTGAGCAGGCAACAATGTAGCAGTGAACAACAGGCAGGTAGAAGATAAGATGTCCTTCTGTCTTCTTTCCAGAATGTTCCTTAGGCCCCTGACCCCAGTTCTGACAGCTCTTTACCCATGCCAGACAGGGGACTCCACTAGGGTTTTTGGGCCAAGTCTAACACCTGGAGATGAGGTGGAAGATGCTTTTCCGATATGGATTTCCTCTTCATGACAACATTCTGGCATCCCATCAGAGCCACAGGCCAGGTTTCTAGCAATAAGGGGATTACTCATACCACTGAGGCCACCACCACAAGCAGCCTTTCTGGAATCCAGAGCTTAAAACAGTGAATGTTTACTACAGAAAGGTACTAAAGGAAAAATCTAGCAGATGTTTCTAGGACATAAGGGTCCTGGTCTGTTCTGTTAGAAAGCTCTCCTCCCCTCAAACAGAAAAGAAACACAGACTTCTCCCACCAAGACCAAAGTTACTTTATTCTTCAGCTGCTTCTTATATAAGCTGAAGGACAAGGGATTGACGCAGGTACAGAGAAAGACCTGAGTTGAGTATTCTAGGGGGAAGGAAAGAAGCTGCCATAGAGTAAGGAAAAGCAGAGATGCGCAGGACATCAAATCCACTGAATTCTCCTTTAGAAGAATAAAGAGACTTGAAAGTTAAGTTCTTTCTGCTTAAACCCTGGGACTCCGATGGTGACTTTACTCCTAAGAAGTACTATCATGTGTGTAAAAAGGGGGAGAAACTTGAGGAACTACGTCCTGCTGGTCCCCGACTCCCTATCTAGTGCCACCCCTGAGATGCAGTCTCTTCTTGTCTGATGCACAAACAAGACAGGGATGGAATACAGACACAGCCACCAAGAGACACAAACCATACCAGGAGGAACAAAACAGACTGTGGCAAGAACAAAGAAAGAAGTGGGCAGAGGAGAGGCAGAGGGAAACATCTGTCTCCAAAGCCTCTGGGACGAGGAGCAAAGAAGAAATACAGACCAGAAGACACCGATGAGGCAGCTTGCGGAGGAGGGTGCAGGGACTGTCCGGCCAATGCCCTCCACCATGACTTCCAACCCAGAAACTGCCGGTGTGGACAGTGAAGCAGAGCTCAGCACTCTGGAAAGAACAGAATCTGTGTCCCACACCACAAGAATTCTGGACATGCACTTCCTCAAGCTAGCAGCAGAGGGTGCTGCTGTTCTGCCTTCAGCCCACCCCCAGATCTCTGCACCGTCCTCAGGATGAGGCACTGGGACACAGCAGCAGATAACAGATGATGGAGAGGACAGGGAGACAGATGGCCTGGAGAGGTGTGGTTTAAGCGTGGGCAGGTAGAGATGGTACATGAGTGGATGGAGAGGTTACCTTTGTTGCGATTTTCAGATACTCCTTGTTTTTTACCTGTTTGAACAAGAAAGAAAAAAGTGGGGTGGAGACCAAAGTGACTAGTAAGAGATGATCAGCTATCCAATTTGTTGGTCCTTTCCCAGCACGGAAGGCAGGCTGCAAAGCAGGGATATATTTGTAAAGGATGCTCATGTCTCTGCTCATTCATCCTTCCTATTGATTCAAATGAATTCCTGGGATCCAAGCCTCAGACGGGTACACACATAGTATTGCCTAACCTTCTCTTGCAGCTAGGAAGGAGGATGCTCTTGGCTTGAGTCAAGTCTCTTAAGAAAATGGGGGTGGAAGTTAGGGGAGGGCAGGAAATGGTAAGGCCCTAAAAGACATCTCCAGGTCAATTCAACAGCCCTGGGCAAGCTTCCTAAGGGTTCACTGGAGGGCAGCTGTAAAAAGTTGGGCACTGAGAAACTGTTTCTTTTTCATAAACTTCTCTTTACTAAGAATCTAGGATGATCTTTGGCCAAATGGTAGAAACCCTTCTCTCCCCTCAGGAAGAAGGCATACTCAGAAAAAGGCATTCGTTTGGCTTTCAAATCTGGGTCTTTTTCTCCTGTCATCCCCACTCCAGGAACAAGTGAGTGACCAAGACTATCTAACTGCAGAATGGATATGGCCTCTCTGTTCCCGCTCTGGTAGCTATGTTTCTCTTCAGTGGAGAGCCCAGAGTTTCATCGGGATCCATGTTTCTTTCTTTCTTTCTTTCTTTCTTTCTTTCTTTCTTTCTTTCTTTCTTTCTTCCTTTCTTTCTTTTTCTTTTTTCACTTGTATCCCCACTGCAGTCCCTTCCCTCCTCTCCTCCCAGTCCCATTCTTACTCCCTCTTCTCCCCCTATGCTCTTTCTCTAGTCCTTTGATAGGGGAGGACCTCCTCCCTTTTTACCTGACCGTAGCTACCATGATTTCTTTAAGTAACTTCCCTCTTAGCTGTGATGGTTCATTTACTTCTTAGTTCTTGAAGAAGAAAGTAAGGGAAGAGGAGGAGGACATGGGGCAGTTTATTTGGAGTACCTGCCGACTCATTCAGGGCAGAGCTAACTCAGGCCTTTACAACCTACCACAGACACAGGAATTAAGGTTCAAAGGCAGTCTGACTTGAGGGCTTTGAGCCAGGATTTGGTGGTTTTCATCAGAGCGCCCTTGTGTGTGTGTGTGTGTTGTACATACGTATCTGCACATATGTCTGTTTGCCATGTGCCTTGGATCTACACAGGCACAGGATCCCCTGGAACTAGAGTTATCAGTGGTTATTATGTGGGGGCTGAAAACTGAACCCAGGTCCTTTGCAAGAACAAGTGCTCTTAACCACTGAGCCATCTCTCTAGCCCCACAACTGACATCTGCATCTTGGCCAGGAGTTGGGTCTGCTTCACCCCAGCAGACTTTTCTGACAGCTTCCCATCGGGATCTGCTCTCTGATCTCCAGGGCGTCCACAGGACTGAGAGAGAAGCTCAATCAGCATGTCCCTTACCTTTCTTCCTCTTCTCCTCCTCAGCTTCCTCGCCAGTCCCCAGCAGGGTGAAGATGATTCCAGTCTGGGAGTTGATCCCCACAGCAGTCACCACCATCCGGCCAGAGCCTTCCATCACATGAGTCCCTTAGGAAAGGGGAGGAGAAGATGGGAATGAGTGCTGTTTGATATTCTTAGCTGTCATCTAGCATGAAACACAAACTTAGAAGCATGCTGCTCCTTTTTCTCTATGGATAATAATCTATTTTGTAGGCAGTAAGAAAAGGCTAGGGGATGAAGCCATTTAAAACAGACAGAGGTCAAGGTTAACAGAAGGAGACAGAGGTCAAGGTTAATATGGTAACTTCATGCCTTCTTCCTGAACGACAGAGCTCCTACAACACTTCATGGCAAATCTCTCTCCGGGTACTGACATCCCTGCATCAGGGCTACCCACGTGTTTCTACTCCATCTGATCCCAAGAGGAGTGGAAAAGATGGAGCCAATAGAGGGCATTGGGCCCAGAACCCTTGCCTGACTATCTGGAGCTGTGCGATGATAACGTGGGCAGTCAGATGCTATACCTGATAGCAACATGGGGTCTTTCTCCAGAGTCTTCTTGACATGATCTGATTCTCCTGTCAGAGTGCTCTCGTCAATTTTCAGATCATTCCCCTGGATTAGAATCCCATCTGCAGGCAGCAGGTCACCTAGTGTGAGAGGAGAAGCATGACAGTAAGGGCGAGCCGGTAAGACCTGCTGCGGGACTCCACCCAACTCCTCCGCCTTAGGGCTGCTCTCCTGGCAGAACCTAGAGGGCCGTGGTCCCACAAGGATGTCAAGAACCTCCAGACGTAACTCTAGAGTTGGGGTGGGACTCAGTGGCAGAGGGCTTACCTACATTGTAAACAACCCTGGGCTTGATCCCTAGTGTCACACATATCTCGAGCTGACACCTTTCTGTGGCCTAAACATTCGGTACTCCTCAGCCATACAGGGTGTACATGTGACAATCCCTTGGAAGAGTTTTGGCTATGGCTTTCTTCAGAATTTCTTCTCACAGCCCCCTTAAGTTCTATCTGATAAGTTAACACAAGCTGGGGGATTATTTTGGGGAGGTTTTCAGAGACTCCTAGCCCCTTGTGTCAATGGACCTACTCCTCAGATGTGGTGTGTGTCGGAGAAACATGGTGCTCTCACCGTATTTGACCTGGGCGATATCTCCTACCACAATCTCAGCTACTGGGAGTTGGATGATCTGCCCATTCCGGATAACAGAGAACTTTTGCTCGAGTTCAATGCGACTCTGCAGTCCCCGGAACTGCTTCTCTTTGCTCCAGTCATTGAAGGCTGTCACTAATACCACAATGACCACCGAGGCAAGAATGGCTGCTCCCTCAATCCAGCCGGTTTCTGCTTCCTTCTCGTCTTCTGGGTTAATTGAAACGTGACCACAGACTATCCAGGGAGGGAAGAAAAGAGTCAATGAAATGAGGGTGCTGCTTCCACAACCTCCACAAGATGGAAAGTTGTGGAAAGAGAGCAATAGAAAAGGTGGAAGATGTCCTCCAAGGAAATTGGGAGATAGCAAGATGGAATCTCATCTTGCCATCACTAGATCTAATTTGTGTTAATTACTAAACTGCACAAAGTATGTTGATGCAAGTCACATGAAGTCCAGCTTACTGTCATTTCCCATAATGCGAAGCACTAGGGTTGGGACACACTGAGAAGCAGAGGTAAGAACAAGGGACAGGTGGCGTTCTGAGTAGGGATGTGGTGGGGAGGGGGAAGGGCTTGCTGGCTGCTGCTCACTCTCCTCTGCAGGGCCTGCTGGGTAACAGCGACATTTGTTACTATAACCTGTCAACCACTGGTGCTAAATATGGTTGGTGGTGTGGAAAGGACTCAGGTCAGCCACGTGGAGCAGCTCAGATACTCACTTTCATTATCTCCACCGGGAGGTCGATAGAAGGACAGGACCAGGGAGATGATGGCTGCAATCTCCAAGATGATGAGAGTGACATCCTGCAGGGCTTCCCACACTAATTCTAAGAAAGTCTTGGACCTTTTCGGAGGTATCACATTCTTTCCAAAAATAAGTTTACGTCTCTCCAGATCTATAGGGTTTCCAGATAGACCTGAGAAGGAGATGAGAGAGAGATTGAGAGAGTGAGAGAAAGAGAGAGAGAGAGAGACTAGGGGATAGGGGAAGTGATTTCAGACATCAAGTTAAAGGCCTATTTATTTATTTATTTATTTATTTATTTATTTATTTACACATCTCTGTGTCTCTCCCTGAAAGTCTATGCCATGTATGTGTGCGCACCTATAGAGGCCAGAAAGGGGCATTGGGGGTCTCTCAAAGCCAGAGTTACAGTTGTTCCTGAGCTGCCTGATGTGGGTGCTACTACCACGATACAGGTTTTTCTAAGTGTCTGACCAGCAAGACTATCATGGTCGAACCTTCAGATAACCACAGAAGATGTAAAAGCCAGAATCTAGCAGAAGGAAGGAATTCCTTATCAGCAAAGGTAGATTTTTGCTGAAAAGAACCCCAGTACTCCAAAGGAGACCACACTTGATCTTGTGTTGAGACTTTGTGGTGCTTAGAAAGGGAGGAAAGCCTAAAACTACCCTCAAGAAGTAGAAGAAGTTAAATTGGCATACTTAAAATACTATAAAATGGATGAAAACATCAAAATGAGTCACCTTCATCAAGAGGGTTCTTTGGAGGGTGCCTTAGAGGTAGCTGCTCTGACAGACATTAATGTGCTAGGCATTGTCCAACTTACAAACCAGAAGGCTGCATATGGTTAATAAAAGACACGAACTAAAAAACAAATAAAAATAAAGACTCCTTGTCCAGTTATGAGACTCGGGGTGGGGGTGCAGCATGCAAGCGGCCAACCATCCTAGTTTGCTCAGGATTCCAGGATCATGGAACCTTTAAAGGCTTAAAAAATGACCAAATGGTGACAGCTTGGCCTCAGGATGAGGGTCTTTTGCTTCTAGTGACCAGGCTAAGTAAACTTCCTCGGTTCCTCAAGTGCTGTGCTGCACAGCCAGGCCCTAGCTCTCAGAACAGGAGCACTAGAATGCTCTTGGGATGCATAGGACACCTCTCTCACAGGAGTATGCAAATTCTAGCAATGACCTGAGCACGCTGGCTCCCACGCTCGGGCTGGAGAGAGCTAGCTACCTGCCGAGGCTACCCAGGTGTTTTTGTTCCAAGTTCTAGGAGCTGTAGATCATTGAAGCAGAACCCTCAATGCAAGGTGAACAACCCTGCTCTTCTGTCTCTCACACAACTGCCAACAAGCTGTTTTACTCAGCGCTAAGTACTTCATATGGACTAGACAAAGCACTACAGCTCAGGTTGAATAAGAACTAAGCAAGGCCACGAGTTTCCAGATATTAGCCAGTTCCTGACAACCAGCGCATTCTCCACTAAAACAGAGCATGTAGCATGCCTCCCCCAGCCCCAACGCACACACACAGTCCCAGGGTGGGGTTGGGGAGGCAGAATTATACTCAGTGGCTTCCTCAGATTTTTGGCTCCCCCTTTTTTTTGGACCCTATAAGGATTAGAGGTTGGGGGGAAACCATTCATTAAGTTGTTTACACACTGCAGCAAATTAGGTTGTTTTTGGTTTGTTTGTTTGTTTTGTTTTGTTTTGCTTTTTTGGCTTTCGCACTGGATGCTGTTGGCTGCTTGTTTGACTGGTTCCCTCACAGGTAGGGTGGAGCAATCTTTGTCTTGAAAACAGGTCAACAGCTGAGGAAGCTCAGACTCAGGGGAAGGGGATACCCCACTCAGCTTCACACAAAGCAAGGACATGTGTGTGCTTGGAAGGAGCAAGGACAGAATGGAGGCCAGGATGTCACATTTGGTCATCATGGAGTGATGTATCTCAGGAAGCTACTGAGTATAATTCTGCCTTCCCACCCCCACCCTGGGAGAGTGTGTGTTTGTGTGTGTGTGCTGTTTTCCTGAGGAAAGTGCTGGTTGACTTTCCTCATAGCTGGAGGCCTTCCAACTGTGAGAAAAGAAATAGGCAGAGTGTGAGGGCAAACTGAACAGCACAGAGCAGTGTCACAGGAGGAGGATGGGGGTGGGGAGGTGGGGGGTGAAAGGGGACTGGGGTGGTGGGGGGCCTCAAGACAGAAAAAGATCTTGAAGATGGGCAAACAAGCACACAGGGAGCTCTGCCTGCAGGGTGGGCGAGGGCTTCTATTTCCCATGCTCACAAAACAAGCCGCAGCTGGCCTGGAGAGGCCCCTGGTTTGGAGAGGGACAAGCCAGAAAGAGGCCGGAGGAAAAGCATGATTTGGCCTCATACTGTGCAGTGAGGAACTGGAGGGCCAGGGGCAGGGGACTGTTTGGGAACATGGTGCCTGAGACTGTAATCCAGGACCCTGTAACCCAGCTTTAAGTCCCCCGCTCCAGCTGAGCAGTTGCTCAGCTGAGCTCCAGAGGGGAGCAAGGCTGGGTTCAGAGCACTGGAAGCCAAGCTGAGCATCTTTCCAGCAGTCCCTGGCCTCCTCCACCGCCCTGCCCTGGGAAGTCAGGTTCCCAGTTGGAAAGGCAGGAAGGGCCTGGGAAAGAAGTGTTCTGGGCAGGGCATCTGGATGCCCAGGCAGGCAGGCAGGGGCAGGGTGGCCAGGAGGCAAAGCTTGCTGGTTCTTTGCGCTAGGGGACCAGAAAGGGCAGGGCTGAGACAGCTCAAGAATTCTGCTCTGGATGGACAGATTGGTTTGACGGAAAAAATTCAGATATTTTGTTTTGCATAGATGTAGGATTCACAATGCACTGGGAGGAAATGTCCTTCCCTCCTTTTTGGTAAGGATCAGGACAGCATTGTGAGGGTGACTGGGATGTCAAATACTAAAGAGCAGAGCCGGGTGTGGTGACTCAGGCTGTATTCCCAGCACTTAAGAGGCTGAAGTAGGATGATGGACAAATGTTAAAGGTCAGCCTGGGCCACAGAATGAGTTCTGGGTCAGCTTGCACTATAGAACCCCATCTTAAAAGCTTATCCTGATAGTCTAGTAACACTCTCCCCAGGTGAGTCTGCCTGAGCAACATACTTGAATGTGCGGGGGCAGGGTGACACCGCCTTGCCAGGCTCTCCTACTAACATCTAACGATCACTGGTGACTCCCGCCTCTCTTTCACCTTTCTCTCTCTCTCTCCCACCCTTGTTCTCCAGTTCTCAGTCTGCTGCACAAAGATCATTTTAAAGATGTTTGTTGTTTTAAATTTTATGTATGAGTGCCCTGCATGTACACCTGCATGCTAGAAGAGGGCATCAGATTTTAGTGTAGATGGTTGGGAGTCGCTGTGTGGTTGCTGGGAGTTGAACTCAGGTGCTCTGGAAGAGCAGCCAGCGGTCCTAACTGCTGAGCCGTCTCTCCAGCCCCTTCTTTTGAAAAATGTAAGGTGGTACATGCCACTCAGCTGCTCAAAACCCTATGTGGCTTTTACTTGGAGTAAAACTGGGCACCTTTGATGGCCTCTAAGGCCACTTAGGAACCTCCATCATTTACCTCTTCCCATTTCCCAGTCATCACTGAGTTCTGGCTCAATATAGTTTCCCTTACTCTGCAAACATATCCCACCTCAGTTTCTGCACACACTGCTGCCCATCCCTTCCCCATAGAGCATCTCCCTGGGCTGTCTTTCCCATCCCTCAGCTCTCTGTCCCCATCTCAACAAGGCTAAAATTGTCCTCAGCTGTGGTGCTCTGCATTCCCGGTACTACAGCTTCCTCCTACAGTCTTCTCATCCATAACACTGAGGCCCTACTCATCTATTGCTTGACTCCCCTCCGTGCCCCCAGAGCAGAGTGTTTGACTTTGTTCTGGAGGTCTAGACCAGCACATGGCATAATGCACACACTCAAGCCTGTTGAATGAACTGAGTGAAGAGTAATGAACAAAGTTGCTAATGTTTCAGTGATCGTTTTGTGGCGGGCACTTCACCAGGCACACTTTGAGTCTCATTCAAACATTACTAGCATTGGAGGCAGTTACTGTGAACCCCACTCGATGGGCAAGATAACTGCAGCTTGATTAGGTGATGGGCTCCTTGGGCTGGCAAGGGCAGGGGCTGTATACCACCCACAGGAGGCAGTTAGATGCCAACCTACACCCAAAGCTCCTGGGACATGAGGGCAGTAGGGATCAACTGAGGCTACGTTCCAGTGTGACCAACTTGCCCTAGTCTTCTGGGACTTCCAGCAGATGGCCACCTTGTTCCTTATGCCAGAAGGCTGGCCCACACATTGTCACCTCTGTACCTCCCAGCAAGCCAGGGCTGCCTCTGGAGAGGTTGATTCCGGCCTTTATTCCTGTCCTCAGAGATAGTGCTTTCAGGACTATCAGAGTCCAGCTTATGAAGTCTGGGCTCACTAAAAGGCTCCTATGGCTTTTTCTGGACTCAAGCAAATGAAACAAAACACATTCTAGATAATGTAAAAGGTGGGGCTTGCCCTTACCTACGTGCTCCCTCAAAGGAACACACTTGTTCCCTCTTGCCCTTTTCTTTCACACACACACACACACACACACACACACACACACACACACACACACACAG